CCCCCCTTCCCCTTCCCTCCCCCCTTTCTTTCTTTGCTTTTTGGGGTTTTCCTGAATGGAATACTCAGGATCACCCCTTTCTTTCTTTGGTGTGTCCCTGGACGACTGTTCGCAGCTGGGAACACCTGCCTTTTTCTTTTCTCTCCTCTCCCTTTCTCTCCCTTTCTCTCCCTCTCTCTTTCTTTCTTTCTGTCTTTCTTTCTTTCTTTCTGTCTGTCTGTCTGTCTTTCTTTCTTTCTTTCTTTCTTTCTTTCTTTCTTTCTTTCCTCTCTTCACCTTTTTTCTCCTTGGGTGTCCCTGGATGCTTTTGTCATAGCTGGGAACCCTTTTCCTCTCTTCCTTTGGTGTGTCCTTGGACGCTTGTGTCGTAGCTGGGAACACCTTATTCCCCTTTCCTTTCTTCTCTTTCTTTTTCTCTTCTCTCCCTACCCCTCCCTCCCGTCGGGACCTTACATTGGTTTGCTACTAGGAGGACGCTACTTTGTTGCTTCTACAGTAGGGGTTCCTCGCCTTACTACTAGGCGCAAGGACGCTCTAGGGCAGAGATGCCTCCCCTTGGGGAGGCGTGTGTGTGTACCCCTTGTAGTCACAGGGATTCCGTTGAGTTGTTTTTTCTTTTTAGCAGGGGGCCCATGGACACTTGGATGGCATGGGCCAACGAAGACCCATCCAAGCTGTCGTGAAAACGTACCTGCTTGGTGCACCTGGGCGCATTGTAAGATGCAGCTGGTGGCCATTTATTCCTTTTTAATTCTGCAGATGTGCACGGACCGCCGTCATCTTGTCGATCCGAACTCGTCGATTTGGTGCTTGCGCTCTGGGCCTCACTTCCGTTTGAAGACCCCCAGCCTCCATTAGGTTTTACCTGTACTCTTAGGAAATGGTAACCTAGGCCGGCGTGTGGCACCGCTTTCAGTTCAGTACACCCTATCCTAAGTGTGTGTGTGTGTGCGCGCGCTCTACGTGTTGCGAACATCTAAACACAAAGCAATTGGAGTCGAAATGTGGTTGATCAAACTTTGAACTTCGGGTTTCAGATCATTCTACTTCAGAGTTCCTGACTCATCAGAAGTGCCTTGGTCAAAACGAAGGAAGTGAGCTCGACTCAAAGACACCTTGGGTGAAAGGATATGTTCAAGCAACATTTGTCATCCTCCACCACTGCTGAGCTCGCATGGATTTAGTATACAGTATGAGAAAAGACCTCACATGACATGAGACTCACTCACATGACTCTACTAAGATTGGCTTGCAATTCTCTGCTCTTTACAATGAACAAGGCTGTGCTGAGGCCTCTTCTCGGTCGGTCAGATTGGAGCCGCGGAAGGCCTGAAACCATCGTTGAAGAGCTGGAGAACAAACTGTCCTAGATCAACACCTTGACTTCCAAATCCTGGACTCCTAACAAAATCCTACAGAAACTGGATCATTCAACAAACGAATCAAGAGCGTTTTCACCGGACCGTTCCTCTCGAGCCCAAGCCGATTGAGCCCCTTGCTAAGCTTAAAAGCAAAGGCATCTCTTCAAGGCCAAGCCTCAATTCGTCTTCACATTCCTTCTTGCTTTGTGGATGACTAACTGCCACACTCTGTGGCATATCTTCGGACGGCCAAACAGTCCACACATGTTTCTCTGCTGCGAAGTCGAGTTTTCTTTGTCTTGATCCCGGATTCAGCTGCCTTTGGCATCCTCCGCTCTTCCCGGGCTTCAAGAATTCACTCGCTGGACTCAGCGCGGACTCACAGGGATCCCATGGCTGTCCGGAAGCCTGGCAGTTTGGCCATCAACGCGTTTCTCAGGTCTGAACAACTGCAACATCCGAAAAAGTATCGAAAAAACTTGCTTTTATCCCTTACTTGGCAAGGCAATGATTTGATAACTGCACTTCTGACAAGGAAGGCGTTTCAGAGTTCGGTCAGTTTCATTTGTTGAATGTTCTCTGTAATGCTTGACTCCAACTTTAGAACCATTAGACGTTCAAGCGAATTCATCACGACCATAACCATGACCAAGTTGCAGTTGGGACAACTCGGTGAACCGCCGGCTCACTCGTGGTCAAAGCCGAACCACCAAATCCTCGGCATCATGCGAGTTGAGACCATGAACTAAGGGTTGGGAGTTGGGAGTTGGGACCATAGTAGCTTCTTGCTGCTAGTAGCGAAGGCCTCCACCTAGTAGCGATGGCCTCCAGATGCCTCCAGCTAATAGCTTCTTGCTATTCTCTAACCCTTTGGAGCTCTGAATGATGTCACTGCATTTTTGTAGAGACATGGCCAAGTTGCACTGAGCCAACACCACCGAACATCAGAATCAAGAATGTAGTCCGGGATACAGCAGTAAACCTCGAGTATGCAAAAACATCCGGTGAACAAAAAAGAACAAAACTTCTTTGGAACATTTCAAATCCAGAAGCTACTAGGAACAAACACCATCGCTACTAGGAGCAAGGACGCTACTAGGGGCGCTCCTAGCCTTACTACTAGTAACAAAAGGACCCTACTAGGAACAGAAGCTACTAGTAGCAAGGGCATTGAGCCTCATGGGTCTGTCCCTCGCTTGAGCTCTGCTTTGAGCTCTCTTCACCAAACCGTCCTGTTCGAACCTGTTGGGAAACCCGTCCGGATCCGTCCGGGAGGTCCGCGTGTCCGCGACCAAACTGTGTTGCCGCACTCATCTTCAACCCATTCCTCGTCCCATGCCTTCAAAAAGGGTGTTGCTTTTGGATGTCCAATACGGAACCCTGGAAAAGAACATGGCCAATACAAGTGCAAATGAATGCCTCATTGACTTCGTCCACTTTATTCTTCTTCACTTCCAGATCCTCGAAGCTCTCAGACTACAAAATTGAGCTTCGCAGCAAGCGGTCCATGCACACTGACAGCGTCCTCCAAATCATCTGCATCCCGTTCGAGAGCCTTAGCGACAAGCAGCGACACACCCCGAAGTCTCCGACAAGTGAAACGGTCGAGTCGATGGCGGAGAGCGAAGGTTCTTGAATCCTTATTGCTCCTCAATTGGGTTATGCAATAGCCAGCTGGAACACCAGCATTCTTTCTCGTTTCCCCTTGGGAGTTCTTCCCTTTATCTTATAACGCAATCACAGATGGCCGATTCGCCTCCAACAGCATCGCCCGGCCACCGTCGTCGATGAGCAGCTCGTAGGCCAGGGAAATGCGCCTGAAACCTCACGGCAGTAGAGAAGATCTTCCAAATGTTCAGCTTGTTTTGATGTGTGATCCCCAGTCTCAAGCCAAGCTAGCAACGTTCTTCGGCATCCTCAGCGTCAAGTGAAAGACTTTGCTTGCCTTTATCTAAGTGTGGCGCGAGGTCCGGCAATACCCACAAGGAGAGTCTCCTAGCTTGCCCAATACATCCGCTAATCACTTGTGCCGTTACTTAGACCTTCAATTGTGCACGTCTTTCTGGTTTGGGTTTCAAAGGGCTTCTTGTGAAAGGCAGCGCCCAAACACATGGAAAACCCAAACCTTGAAAGGCTGGCAAAGAAGCTGAATGCAAAAAACGGCTGTTTTGGGCACATGGCTTCGCGTTCGGAGACATCTGGATGCTCCACCCTGCAAAATAAAGGTTTGATATTCAGTTTTGCTGCAAGAAACAAGCTGGACAATAAACAAATCTTCAAGACCGAAAGGAAAACATACTATGCCAGAATCATTTAGTGCTCTCGGATCACTGAATCCCCACTTGATCATAAAGACACTGCTAAATAGCACCAAGAACGCCACCCTTTGTTTTTACAGTCCGGCCTGGCCACCTTGCGGAAGGCTGCACGGATGTCGGTCTTGGGACACTCGGGATCATCCAATCCCAAAAGGTCAAAAGGCTCCTGGAACTTCCCGTCGAACTCCTGGAACTTCTTTGGTTTGTTCCAAGGTTATCTGCACAGCTAAGAAGCACCCTTGCGAATTACTTGAGCGTTTTTTCTCAGATTGCTTCGTGGTTCAGGAGTGTACTCACAAAGGTAGTTCTTGACGGTCTGCCTACCTTGCACAAGGGTACTGGATCAATCAAAGAGTGACAGTGTGTGTGTGTGTGCATATATTATCTACAGTACGTAATGAGCGGTTTTCATTGCTCCTTCAATGCGTCCAGCACAGTCTGCGTGGCACCGGAGGCACGCAGGCGCGTTCGACTTGGGCGTTGCGCATGGCTTGGTGATCGCAGGAAGCAGAGTCCTGCCACCAACCTCAAAACTGAATTGATGGGAATGAGGTGTGCTGCTTCACAGCTCAGTGTGCACCAAGGAAGCTTCACCAAGATTCCCCGCAAATCATAGCCTATCTGAGGCGGGGGCCACAGGAGCGGCAATAAAAGCAACGGCAAAGCCCACCGCATGGCCGACGCTTCTGGATCGATCCGACCGAACTTTCTGGTGATCTGTGGTCCTGGTGGAGATCAAACGTTTCATCTGGACCAACCAGGGATCTGCGTCACAACCTCTTTCCAACCTTTGCCCATGTATCTTGCAGATGTTTGCTCAAGGGAGTGATTTGCATGAGGGCCCGAAAAGACAGCTGCACCGGAGCAAGTTTCTTTGTAGAACAGCCAAATGTCTCGACATTTAATAAACTCTCAAGCCTCAAACCGGAGAGAGAATTATGAAAATAAGTCCGTTCTAACAGGCAGAAGTGAGAAGAAGCCGCGTCTGCGCGTCCAAGGCTTTCCAAGGCTCAAGCTCCTTACAGCAGTTGCCCTGTGGCATCCAACTACGTTTCGTCCCACTTGCAAATCCAACTGCTTAATCTCAACCTGTCTCGAGTCCCAAGCGCTTAGGTCCAACTGTCAAAAGCCCGATAGAATTTCACAAAAATGAACACATAAATTAAGCATGTCCAACGCACAAGTCAAGGAAGGCTATTCCCATGCCCATGCCTGCTGCGTCCATCTTAGCTGGACAAGGCCAAGGGCTGGCTCACATCGCACCACCTGTGTCAGAGCATGATAGGAACTTATCATCAATATCTCTTTGACTCCAAGCTCCCATCCTCGCTGAAGGAGCACAACCTGGTTAGCAACAATGACTGAACCTCAGGCACGTGGACTGTGAAGCAAAAGGCAAAAGGCCATTGGTTTGGAAACAGCATACAAATTGCTTGAAAAAAAGGACGCTACTAGGGGCTCCTGGCCTTACTAGGAGCAAGGATGCTACTAGGGGCGCTCCTGGCCTTATTACTAACAAAGAACTCATGGCCTGATCGGGTCGTTGAGACTTGTCAGCCACAAACGACAAAAGACTCTCGCCTCATGCAGCAAGGAGCAGCATGTGCGGAGCGCTCAGCGCAGTCTCACAGTTCAACATGCTGCCAACTCAGGATTTGATCACACAAGTAGGCGAATTTGGGTCGTGCGCTGCCATGAAACAAGAGACTCAAATCAAATTCCATCCTTTTGACCCCCTGTGTCATCCTGCCGAGAACTGACTTTAACCTTTCCGAAGCATCAGGCCAAGCCACCGCACCAAGATCTCTTGGAATTTGCCAGCGGCGGCAAAGCTCGCCAGGCTGTCAAGCTCTGTGGCACATGTAAAGGCAAGTCAAAAAAGGAACTTATGATAATGACTTCTCAAGCAGGCTCAAGGAGATACCATTTTGAAGCAAGACAGACTTCTGCAATACCCACGAAGGCCTCTTCAATTTGTTCGGCGGGGCTAGACACCATCAGCGCCAGAATCTGCGCACAGAAACAGGAGGCTTGCTAGGACAATGGGTTGCACAAAAAGGCAAAGATTGGTGGGTCGGTTACTTGGTGCTCAAGCTCTCTTCTCACTTGGTTGAATACATTCATGAGGTTCTCAGCTCAATCTGAGCGTGAACAAAGGTTGTGTGTGACTAAAATATGCATAGCCTCGCTAATTGGCAGAAAGCAATCAGCTAGGACGTTGTTCAGCTTTGCCAGCCACTCATCAAAGTCCTCATCTTCCTGCACTCTCATCAGCCAGTGCCCGTGTTTCTTCGTTTCATGCGCGGCAAAAGACCCTGTGGCTCACATCTCCACCTGGTCTCATGGGCGTCCTCTTCTGACTCGGCACAAATGAACACCTCCATGGCAAAGCCGGAGCTTGAACGAACAATCAACTACTTACTTGTGAGAGAAAGCTCATCTTCCAACAATGTTCATGGCTGCTCCCTACTTGACAGCTTTCTCTGCAATGAACCAATGAGTCTATGATAGCCCAATGCCTTGCGGGCATGCTATATGTTTAACCATGCAGAAGGTATACGGAATTCGCCAAGAGTATGATTTTGAACTATCACTCATCGCAAGCCGCCGGCTTCCCACATTGAGGCTTCGGTCAGCTTCGGTGTTGCACAACCGCAGTGGCTCGAAACCCACTGCACGAGACCCAAAGCCACATCGGCCAGCAATCGACCAGCACACTTTGCACGCACAGGAACCGCTGCACGCAGCCAAAGGCTTCAGGCCCTTGAGGGCCTTGAGATTGCATCTTGCATTTCTTGCTCTGTTTTGGAGTGCTCTTCCTCAGCTACTTTCTGCTTGATCTTAGAGGCTCGGTGTCATTGGACTGAGTGGACATGCCATTGGGGCCACTTTCTCTGGGTCTAGTGGTATGGTCTCGTTTTCTTTTACCAGGTATCTCTTGCTGGGTCCAGCAAGCCAAGGAGACGCTTTGGTCCTTCGCTTACTTAAATTTCTCTATGTCGTGCTGATTGTAATATGGCAGCGTTGAAATTCACAACCACAGTACCCTCTGTCACTGAGTCATCAGTGTCAATCCACAGCGCAGCAAACCGTCATTTTAGCCAACACGATTCCAGAAAGCATGCAGGCAGCATTCCGGGCACAATATGGAACAATGTCTTCCGTGTCACAGAGAGTCAGGTCAGAACTTACATGAACTCAAAAACCAGCATGCAAATGGCACATCATCGGCACTTCCCAGTCGACACCCCATTTCCGGCACTCTATTCAGCACCGAGAGAGCCTGGGCACGAGTCTCTCGCCACTTCTCCGCCACCAGTCGCAGCGAGTGCCGTACGTGTTGGACTCGCAACCTCGCAGGAAAATCTGCCCGTTGACAGCGACAGTGTCCTTAAACAAATCCAAATGATGGTGAAATGTAGCGGTATTGAATTTATCTCATTGATAGAAAGAATTGCTCCAAGTGTTCGTTGGAAAGGATCTGACAACTCTTTGTGATTACCTGGTAGCATCATGTTGTTGCCAGCTACCCAAATCATCTAGAACCCGCTGTGTAGACTTTTGGAAGAATGGCTCTGAAGCTGCCACTTACCAGCTTTTGCATCGATTTGTCTTTGGCCCATTTCACTGAGCAGGTGTGGAAATGATAATCTAAAGCATTGGGAATGGCCAGCTCTGCACATGACTCCACAGAACTTGCTACAAAGAATAGTCAAACAACAAGTCCTGTCCAGTGCAGAGTTGGGGGAAATCAAAGGCAACATGTCTGCAAGGATGTTTTATCCTCACAGAGATTGCCCCCAAGAGACTTGCACCATCTCAAAAAAGCTCAACCAGCAAGGCTCCAATTTGCTGGCGCTGGCTGCATTCCCTGGTTCCTGTCGGCCGCTTGCCACTGCTAAGTGAGAAATAAAAATGCCGTGATTTATATACGTTCGCACCGAACAGCTCATGCTGGCAACAAAAAGAAGCTTTTCCCCAGATAGCGGTGCTGCTGCAGGGCGCCACTGCTGTGCGCGCTTGGGAGCTTGGGTGCTGGTGCCGCTGCAGCGTCCGGCTGCTGGGGTGCTTGTGCCACTGCAGGGTGCCCCTGCTGCGTGTCCTTGGGAGCTTGGGTGCTGGAGCTGCTGCAGGGTGCCGCCACCTTGCCACTGCTGGTGCTGCTGCAAAAGTCTTTTTGCTATCTGGGGTCTCTGCTGGCGTAATTCAGACTGCTATCGGGCCCATTGACAATACAGGAGCTTTTCTTCAGATCTACAATACTCTGAAGTCTTGGAATACCTTGCCGATGAATCAGCACATGTGTGATCTTGACCCATTGACACTCAATCTTTGGACGAGGGTCTGAAAGTGGTTCTGCGAGGTGAAGCCAACCATATTTGCTCGTGAGATGTACGGCTGCCTGCACAGCTCATCATACTCCACGCTGAGCCAACGAGTTTAAGGGACCAGCAGAAGGACGAGCGCTTCCCTCCAAGACAAGCACAGCAGAAGCTGCTGGGCACGGGAGTCAAGTAGAACTGTACAACACAGAATGTTCCAAGAACTATCTTGCCACACCTGGGGGCAAGTGGCCACACCATCTCTGAAGGGTAGATGGCACAGCCATGGATCTCAATGTCCTGCGTATGTCCTCAGCGAAGTGAAAAGGAAGACATGCCGCAACTGTCTTTCAAGCGACGCACCTTCAATATTTCACACGAAGTGCAGCAGGCAAATCCAACGTATCCAAGTTTCCGCTGTTTTTGCTTTCCTCATAGTTCTCCAGGGTTTTGTTGTAAAGTTGGCCAACCTCAACTCAAAGCATGGCCAACAGCAGAAGGGAAGTTGCTTCACACCTGTCGGCCGCTTGTTCACATGCGAACTTTGTATGCCGAGACTTGCACAGAACAAACCCTAGATGTTTCTAACTCGTGGAAAAATCTTTGCGCAAGGCAACGCTATAGCTGGCATCCAGACCATGTTGCGCTTGCAACTCTTGCACAGATCCTGCATGCAGGACGATGCAGAGATTGGTAGTCTTCCTTTGGTCTCTGTGCCCTCTCAATATCACAGGCACACTTGGAGATCTTGGCTTGTTGTCACCAAATAGCATGTCGCTAGCTATATGCCATATACACCATATACAGTATAGTATACGGTCTTGTCCATCAGGTACATGATTCGATGCCAAGACACTGGTGAGTGCTCTGGTGAAGTGACCACCTGTCACTTCGGTTGCGAAAGCCGCATTTTTCGCAGATGGGATTTGCACAGCTGATTCCATAACCGTGGGCCAGTGCAGGTGCATGGTGAAGACAACTCCCAATGTATTGGTCTTCAGATCCTTTTTCGCAGCCCGCACCCCGGAAAGACAACGAATTCGCCTTTTCCAGTACCAGCAGAGGTCTGCGCATCGGAACAACCAGAAATGGAGATGGCTTTTTGGCCTGCCAGGCGCTGCCACACGGGGTTGCTGCGATAACGCTGTGCACATCAATTCTATGCAGCTACTTCTTCGGCTTTCCCGTAATGTAGGTCTTTAATGCTGCAACTCAAGAGAGCATGTGACAGTTCTTGTGTAGATCATCCCCCAAAAAGGCCATTGCTTACAAATGCAACGTTTCTGGGTCGAAGTTGCAGGCTGCCAATTCCAATCCCATGGCTACTTTACAAGTCAATGTCCTTCCCCTGACAACAAGAAACAAGAGCTGTGCCTTTCTCAGCCCACCTAAGAGCGCAGGTGCGGCCAGAAACATGCAGGCGCACAGAGCTTCAATGGCAAGTGCATTCAAGGCACAACCCAGAGTTGAAGTCACAAATGGTTCCTCAAGTGGGGACATAGCACGTCAGGTGCAACGGGAATGATCTCGCTAAGGCACCGGAGTGGCAAGCATCGACCAGAACCAATGCATGGGCATTCTCGTCAATGGATTCCAGCACTGCATCAACCTTTGCAGTGGAGCGACAGCAAACACGGCAGCTACACATGCTTCTCGCGCAACGTTCTCGATTGAACAACGGCTGCAGCCATGGGAGCAAAGTCATCGTCACGCAGCCACACTTGCTGACGGTAAGTCATGGTTGCATCATCTGTGCTGCCATTCCTTGGAGACAACCGGAATACGCAAGGCCAAGCAATCCAACGATGCAAATGCAAAGGGGAATCGTGGCTTCATGATTGTCGCACAGCAAGGCAGGCTGCAAGCAAAGCAAATTTTACAATGTGGCTTCAACATCAAGGGGCGCATCCACTAGGCAAAAGCATTGGTCGTGCGTCCTCAGACCAAGGCATTCAACCGCATTTCTTCTCTTTGCAAATTCTTCCGCAAGAACAGAAAAGAAAAGCTTCAACAGGCACAGAGTCACCAAGTGGCTCTTCCTCATCGTCGTCTACGTTTATTAGTTGATCGCCATGGCCAGTGTAGTAGAAAATCTCAGTCACGAATCGTGTCTCATTGACAATTGTGACGCAAATCAGCACCACAACCAACGACCATACATTACAATGTTGTGTCGCCACCACCACCACCACCACCAGCAAATCAACTCTCACAAGATCTCACGAGTAGTGGCAAGCAAAATATGATTGCCCATTCAGAATGTGATATAAATGCACCAGAATTGAGTCCCAATCGAAATAGTCATCTTCTCCACACTTTCCGGCGACCTGCGCATTTGACTACAGTACACCTTCAATCTCTTGCAGAGCCTTCTCCTTTCGGGCCCCCATTTGGCATCTTTGGAGAAAAAACTCGACTTGAACTCACCATAACGCGCCTCTTGAATCTTTGCGATGACATTCTCCTTGGTACATTGCTGGTTCCACAACTTTTCCAGTGTTGCCACCTCGCCTGAAGCACCAGCTTTCTGGCTACAACTTTCTTGTACATGAGCCACTTCCATGAAGAAACTGGGAGTCTCATTTAGGTGTCCAAACTCTTCGCGCATTGCAAACAAGTGTCAATTTCGCGCCAAATCTTCCTCAGAACACGGGGCAGTATGTTTTCTTTGCCGCCCTCAAATCAAGCACACCTTTCTCTTTCTGTTCTTGCAAACCAGGCCACAATCATGTCAACGGCATATTTTGTATCCAGCACATTCTTGCCGGCCCAGGAGACTCGGTCGCAGCTGTAATCCAGACCAACGATGAGCATATGAACCTGGATCTGACAGAATCAGGCCAGCAGCTGACAGGTAGATTTTTTTTGGGGGGAGCACACCAACTTTAAGAGTGGTTCCCTTGGCAAGTTCTTGACAAAAGAAGCGGCGATGCGGGTGTCGCCGCCCTCTGCGCGATTCAGGTCCTGCCTCTCCGGGGACGTCTTCTGGCTTGCCCCAGAAGCAACTCTCCTGTCCCAGGAACAAGAACACTACTCGGGCCTCCTGCCATCGCTACGAGGAACAAGAATGCTACTCGGGGCCCCTGGCCTTACTACTAGGAGCAAGAAGCTACTAGGGGAACTAGGCTATGTGGCCTGGAGTGATCCCATTCGGCTCCCACCTCATCCACCCGCTGGTTGTGCGTGGCAAAGCGTCGCTGTCCACAACAAAACATTGGAATCTATAGCACCTAGGGCTGGTTGTCACAGTCACAGTCAGGTGACAAGACTGCCCAGGTGGAGAGTCCAAGCTGGGCACTGTAGGGAGTCCAAGCGCGGAGGATTCGGTGCATCCTAACGCTACAGCCGCTACAGCCTTCAAATGACCGCAATGAGTGGAGATGATGACACCCACCCTTGCATAGCCAGTGCGAAGCATGGGTTCATGCTGGCCAGTTCAAGTGCTTCAATGCTCAGAATGCATACATCTCTGGGAACTTACAGGCATTCATTCAGAATTGATGTCTGCAACATGCACGCTCCACGTTGGAATCTCTATACATCTCAGCCGCCCACAAGATTGCAGGAGGAGGCCCATCTTCCTTCAATATTCCAGCAATCACATCCCGAAGACGCCAAGGGTTGCTCCACACATGCACAACACAAAAAATATTCCTCTAGATTTCTCCAGCAACCTTCGAGGGGAACAACTTGAACCCATCCTGGACACAGCCCAAGTCCTCATCCAGAATGCTGATGGCTGATGGATGCTCCAAAATCCACTCCTGTGCAGTGCTGACTCAAGTCCAAAACGCTTCGTCTGAAAGTCACGTTGCAACAAAAGCTCTTCTTCCCTTGCAGCCTAAATCGGTTTTGGAATGCTTTACCAAGGTGAGTCAATGGCTCCACAACAGTAGCTGTCCTCAACTGCAGTGATCAAAGGGTTCATCAGAGAGGAGGGACATTGATTCAATGTGAGGTGTCCCACTCAAAGGACTACTGTAAGGATCATATTCTTGCAGACAAAAAGGTTCCTGCCCATGTCCAGATCATGTTGATGGCAACATGTTCTTTGCTGCGATATGTTGTGCTTCTCGTAGATCAAGAAAGAAAGGAACTAATCGCCCCTTGGCTTTGTTTGTTCAGATAAAACAAGAGACGTTTTTCGGCAGTCCACGGTTTCAAGGGAAAGCGCTCCGATAGTGGTGTTCGGGAAAGTGGTGTCCAACAAACGAACCCAAATTTTGAAGTGCACGAAGTTGTGACAGAGATAACAAGTTCTCTCTTGTACCCCACTTGATCATGTCATTTGCAATATCACAAAACTTTGGAATGCGATGCATTCTGGCCACTAAATGGCTTCACTGTAAATAGAATGAAAAGCTACCAAATAAGTAACTGCATTGCTACGATTCCATTCCATGTGCGTCGCCCAGTTGACTGTAGCTCGGTCATTCTTTTTCAGCTTAGCCCCTGTACCTCTTGTTCCAAGAATGCATTTAAAAAGGTGACATCCTCGAAGCATAGCCAAAAGCATGTGTTTTTCCAAGAAAGCGTTCACATTGTTGTTGTTCCGCTCTCATTTCTTGTCTCATGGCCTTTGGTTCATTTCTTGGCCATCACTTCATTGCCGGAACTCATGCGTCCATCGCTTCACCTCTGGGAGGCGATGAACTGCGGCAGTCACAGCTCGAAACGAACCGAGCTGTTCAGTGCAGCTTCGGATTTCGAGCCTAAGAAGCAAAACAAAACAGCCACAGTCTGTGTTTCCAAGCGTTTTCTGTCGGACGATTTGGCTTGCAATTTTGCAAAGAAGCTGCTGCCAGTCCTTAAAGAAATTTGTGATCTCAGCTGGGAACCGCATTGAACTGTCTCAAGGCCTTGTTGGGCAGGGAAGTGGGCAGAATATCTTGGGACTTCAAATAGATTTGTGGGTCGTCAGCGGACTCTAGAACAAACCGATACCGGATATCAGATATCCGATACCTAGTGGACAGCCTGCAGACAAACGCAAAAGAGGTTCCTAGGCTAGCGGCTAGCAAAGATGTTGACACGCTCATGCACCCATTTCGGATGAAACCAAAAGCACCACAAGCAAAATGAATTTTCTGAATACAGGCAAATCGAACAAGCGTCACAAGAGCAAAAGCTAAGGAGCCCAACTTCTTTTCTTCCTCTGTATCTTTGGCCTTCTTCTCCTCTTTCTTCTCTTCTTTCTTTGGCTCCTCACTCTTTGACTGTATTCTTGCATGTGTAATTCTAGCAGAGAATAGGGCTGTCGCCCGTTTTATCAAAGCGCAGCTCCTCTGCTTCTGTCTTCTTTGTCTGCCCGACAAACACCACGAAACTATATGTACAGTATAGGCAATTGCGAAAGTGGCTGCATCACTTGATCTCAAACGACCAAGAGTCGTCCGCCTTGTCGGTTTCACTCATGCCCTCTTCAAAGGCCTGATGTCGGACCGAACAGGATCAACAAACATCTCTTTGAAAGTGCCTGTCTTTCCTTTTCTCTTTACCTTTTTTATCCTTTTTTCTTATGCATTTCTTGTGTAAAGCTGGCCTTGGGCACCTCCTTCAGATCTCCAGCAGCCTAGGGTTATCATGGTAGACTCTGCGTCTAGGTTCCGGGAAAGGTCCCAACTATTTCATCACATGTCGCAACATGAGGTGCAAATCACATATGTCACATATTCTTAGGATCAAATTGCCAAGATTGAATTTGGACTTCCTTTTCTGTTTGGACTTCCTCATCCTCGCCTTGCCAGCTTCTTTTGCCACGCTTTTCAAAGCATCTGGCCCGAAGAAGAGGATCGCGGCGCCCAGTATCTTAGTTGGTGTCTGAGGCAATCCCCAAGATCATTGCTTGGTATGTTCAGAGTGATCACACTTCGTCAGTCTTGCACTCTCAGAAATCCAACAAAGGGGACTATTTGTCCAAGGCCTCCTGTGGGGCTTGCTGAGTTCTTCTTCCAGTCCTTTTCGGGTCCCGACCACCAGTAGTTCGGAGGTGCCAAGACCAAAGAGCCGCCGTGCTGTTTTCGATGTCCTGGAGTTTCAATGCCATGGGAAGTCACTCGCCCATCGCATTCACTTCCTCTCGCTTCGTGCACCGCCCAAGTTGCCCGTGAACTGCTCTGCCTGTCAAGAGCTGAAGTGCTCCAACTGGGTCGGCGTTTCTTTCTTTTATCATCTTTTATCAATCAAACACAATCGCTCACTCACAGTCAGCTGCATTGCAAGTTTCAATCATGTGCATGCATTTGAGCCTCAGCCTTCGACCGCAATGCAAAGAAATTTGAGGATGTCGGGAGTCGGCCTGATGCTTGGCATGTTGAAGCACTTCCGCGTGACTCAAAACAGGTCAATCCTTCAAGGCGCCCACAAGCCTGACACAAAAGCAGGCGCAAGCAAGAGCTGAGCTATCGCCCCAATGACCTCCGACTCGAACGCATTCGACATGAGCGACTCTTATCTTCTCCAAACATTACTGGCGCAACCCCACCACTAGCGCCAGCGCGCGCCGCTGCCGTCGAGGGGTCATGGTGGACCGCCAAAATTGGGGGCTGTTCTGAAGCCGGTCTGGGGCTAAAAAGGCAGCCAAACATGAGGCCATGGCCACAAGCAATGCAAAAAAGATGCCTGCCGTGCCGTTCCAAGAAACGTGTGTTACCACATGCTTTTGCGACGCTCGTCACAAGACTATCCTGCCAAACTGCAGACTACAAGCCTGCTGCATCAGGCCTAGGACGTGTGTGCCCGCAAATCCACAGCTGTCTGTAATTGTGTAGTCAGTTTAACAAAATGTGTTGGTGTATGCTGCATTGCCACCGAAACCCTTCGGGTGTGGTGGTAGGGCAACCTGTCTGGAGCAATTCACTCCAAGTCGTGAAACTGGAGGCATTGAACGATCTCCATACTTGCAGAGAATTGGGGCACTTGATGCAAATGAAGCCGAGCAAATAAGAAAAATGCTGCATTAACTTGGGTGTATTGAAGTACAAAGTTATCAGTCAGCACGGGAGCTCTCAGAAATGAGAAGTTCCAACAGGGGAGTTCACGCCCTCATTCCCTCTCATGAAACGCAGCGAAATTCCGCTGCATTTGCAGCTCTGGAGACCAAGGGTGTGCTGTTACTCGAAAGAACATCTCACCTTGCAACCTTACAAGCCTTACTTGCAACTGTCCAGCATCTCCAAGGCCTCCCCTCTCATGCACAAGACATGTGGCACCGACGCTCGTAGTTCAAGAGGTTCATGGCCTGATAAGAAGAGGCTAATTGAATTTAGTTTAATTCTTGTTTCTAATAGCTTCTTGTTACTACTAGTAAGGTCCTTGCTCCTAGTAGCGATGCACCTGTTCCTAGTAGCTTATTGTTTCTATATATAGAAACGTCACACACCTTGAGACTTTGAAGCGACAGCAAGGACAAGCAAAGCAAACAAGGCGAAACACGAGGCAGCTTGACCGCCGAGACCTTGCCTTCCGCGCCACCTTCATCTCATCGTATTGCTGCGCGGCTTCGTTGGCAGCCCAACCTGAGGCTGAGGTGCTGTCAGCGACTTTGGACACAAGAACATCCCCAAACCACGATGCCAAACTGGAAGAGCTCCAGCTCCAGGTGCAGAGTTTACGGGCTCCTGAGGCTTCAGCAACGTTCCTCAAAGTCACGTTGCCGAGCTCGAATACGCTCGACCTGACGAAAAGGGTCACTTAGCAAATTCTGTTGAGATGATATGTGCCATGTTGACATGTTAAACAAGTAGAAGGAACAACATTTGTGTGGACTCCTCAGTGATCCCGGTCTCTAAACTGCCACACCTTAAACTCGCGGGTGGCATGCTTCCTCATAGTATCCTCGGCCTGGCATTCAGAGATGCCCTTCCGGGGCCGAGAAGAGCCACATGGTGCGCCACATGATGCGCCTGTGCATTCTGGTGGTCAGGAACCGAGAAGATGGAGTACATGTTGTTTGTGGTCTTGAAGCGCTCTGCATCGCCCATGGTGTGGCTACACAGCGGCACCTCAAAATTTGCCAGCCAAAGCGCCAATACACTCATACTAAACTGTTGTGAACTGTTAAATGCTCTCGGATTTGGGGCTTTGTAAAACAAGTGAAAACAGGCCATCTTACGTGGTTTTTACGTGTAAAAAGTGCACTTTGTGAGCTTTTCAAGCTGTGGCTTCTGGCAACAACGGGACAAAAGCTGTGGCCGTGTGCGGGCAGTGTTGGGCTCCCGGACACTTGGCTCTGCCACATGCCGTGTGTCCGGAAAGATCTCAGTGTCCCAGGCGGTGTCATGCCCTGTTGAAACAGGTGTCATGCCCTGTTTACTTCATTCCTCTTCTGTGAGGTAAAAAAACACTTATACCCGGTGCAAGCCAAATCAAACGTGACACCACACTCATTGACTTGATTCAGCCTACTCTCTTGGGATGTCAAACCTTTGTATATAGACATATAGTGCCCAAAAGGAAATTCTCCCTAACATTCCACTTGCTGCGCATGCAAAGACTTGCAATGTGAAAATGCCAGGCCCTCTCACAGTCATCCCAAATCGTGTCTTCGGCAACGATGTGTACAGTTCAGACCTGACAAATTGTCACAACTGCTAGCACGTCTGTGCTGTAAAGTAACACAGGAGCAAGGATTTGCCTTGATGCCAATGGCAAAAGCAGTGGCTACGCAATGCAAACTCAAAAGAATCAAAGCAAGAAACCCCAGCGATCCTTTGTTTGCCGTCGCTGTCGATCCTGTGTACAATGTCCAGCGCCACCTCTCTGAGGTGTTGTCCTAATCCCTATCAAAGCTCTGATTGCTCGGATTGCTGGTTCATTGGATTTCCATCCACATGTAGCCCTCCTGTCCACAAGCAGTGAGAAGCTTGTGTGCAAATAAACAATGCATCAAACAGATGTCACAGTGTCTTTATCAAAAGTCTTGCTGTGGCTGGCCCTTGGTTTCGAAGTCCTTTGAGCCAAATGGGCTTCAAGCTACTGGGGACGTACTCCAACTGGTTGTCGTCCAGCATCACTGACTAGGCCACAACGCAAAAGAAAAGGCTCACAGATCTCCATCCTTTCTGTGGTCGCAACTGGCCTGCAAGGACTTCAACTTCCCAATCTCCTCTGGAACAGACTCAAGCCTCAGCTGAGAACTGCTCCAAATTCAAATCAAAAGCATGGGCCAATGGAGAACAGAAATTTAAGTTGATTCAAGTTGACCCTGATCATTGAATATGTTTCTTTTCTGTGGGTCTTGGCTGATTGGCAACCAGATTCAGCCTCCGGAGCCGTTTCAAGCGCTGAATACCTAACACAGCCCGCATGATGGGACAGCAAAAAATTGGCCACTCCGCATTTCGCCCAATCAAACATTCCTATCTATGTGACATGGAATGATGCAGTTCAACGCACCTTCAACAGAACATGTCTCCTTCTGCCAACAAGATACCGGCAGGGATCTCTGATAGATGGTTATGCTGCAACATCAACTCCTCCGCAGGAAGCTGCCGAACAGGATTGCCTTTATGAGGGAAATATTGGTTCATGTTCATCCAACAAAACAGGTCCAAGTACTTGTATGTTGTCTATAGTTTTAGTTGTTGTTCATATGGTTGACAGTTTGCTTTGGGCATCGTCTAACAACCTTACCACACCATCGAGTTATTTTAGAACGGTTCTTGATTTGGGTGCTAATTACCTCCCGTGACAGTTGAAAAAAGGCATTTTGTTGGTAACTGGTTACTTGATGATCCCTGTGTTCTTTTGCTTTGGGGAGAACAATGCCTCGAACTTGCCACAAAACGATGTTGGTTGCGTCGGTTTTCAGGTAGTGAGTAGTTCACATGGCCAAGAGGGATGCTTTTGAACCCTGATTCATGGGCACCCTGACTGACCTTGATTGTCCAAAGCTTTTGCGCTTCGCAAGGTGTGTGGTCGCAACGTGCACAAAGCAAGATGTTGCAAATAGCATCTGATAGCAAACATCAGTGCTTTTGATGATGCCTTCAAGCACACTGTAGATTGCAACGTGTTGTGCAAAAAAATGTGTTGGACACAAAACCATGGTGTGTGAACTGCTTGCATGAACAAGCAGCGTGATTCGCGGTACCTGCAGGGGTGGCGTCATCAGACATCATGCACAAAACTTTTTTCCAGCAGACAGGGCACTCCAGGCCATCTGATCCAGGCGCACTTGGGAACTGCTCCTAGAAAGGTCTATCTAATCTATCTGACTGGAAGACCGGTGGGGCCAACCCATCACACAAAACATGGGCGAGGTGATTTGCACAAACGCGGAGACAACCTGAATGATTTCCTGGTACAAGCGCTTGAGAAGGTTGTGAAGGGCCCATCAACATCCGTGCCATCATCTGCAGCCAACGAAGCACAAAAAGCCAAGCCGGCGCACAGCCTGCGGAAAAATGAGATGCGCCACAACGATGCGCGGCTCCCGTTCTAAATCGCTTCAGAAAGAGGTCATGGCACCATCGATGTGTCATTTGGAAAACCCAAAGGCGCTTCTGGAAACACCATAGTATGCGCAACGCCACTTCTGAACCTTGTGCAAAGTGCTCTCGCAGGACTTTATGCACAACCACCTGAAGCGGGACTCTGACGCAAAGTGGCCCAGATCCAGCCGTTCTGGCTACAAAGGGACGTGGGAAGATTCTGGCTTTGGGCCTGCTGCAGCCGTGAGAGGATTCTGGCGCTTGCCTGACTGTAGGTGACGGGTCATCCTTTGAAACAACATCCACAGTAACTACAAGCTTTTTTGACCACAGCCGGTTGCATTTGAAGATGAAATTGCCAACTGATGTTCTGGGCACGCTCCTCTGCCCTTCTCTGCGATGCCGAGAAGGCATGCGCTTTCTGAGGGCTAGTGATGCTGGGAGTGCTGGCCTTTGCTTTGAGTATTGTCAGCATATCAGAGACAGTGGAAGGCATGCCAGGGTTTGGGCAGTGGAATGTCTGAAAGCATTCCTTTCCCTCAACTCCCACCCAACCCTTGCAGCATCGCGAAGTTCAACACGACTTTGTACCAAATGTCCTTGCTGTTGTAGTAGTTGTTGCTGCTGTTGTTGTTGTCGTCGTGGTTGTTGTCGTCGTGGTTGTTGTCGTCGTGGTTGCTGTCGTCGTGGTTGTTGTGGTCGTGGTCGTGGTTGTGGTTGTGGTTGTGGTTGTGGTTGTCGTTGTCGTTGTGGCTGCTGTTGCGGTTGCGGTTCTTGGTGTTCTTGGTGTTCTTGCTGTTCTTGCTGTTCTTGGTGTTCTTGGTGTTCTTGGTGGTGTTGTTGTTGTTGGTTGTTGTTGTTGTTGTTCTTGTTGTTCTTGTTGTTCTTGTTCTTGTTCTTGTTCTTGTTCTTGTTCTTGTTCTTGTTCTTGTTCTTGTT